TTATTTATTTAAATTGACTATAATAGCGTAACCCAAACTGCCAAACAGTTTGAGTTTGAGTTTGGCGCATGCCTAAAAAGGACCACGTTCACCGCATAAATGAAACAAAACTAACCGCTCAGTTAAAAATCTGTTGTGATTATAAGACTACAGGCTTTGCAGACTTATTGAATAGTTGAAACAATTTTCGAAATTGGTAAATATCTTCAAGTTCTTCCGAAGAAAGGTCATGAGATAATTGCCCAACTCGTGTGAAATATTTGAAATTTATATTTGTCGTGATTATCTTAATAAGTTTAGTTTTTCCTGGTTGCGAATGGATTTGATTGAAAAGATGTAAATGTTAGATTTATCTATCTGTGAACGTGCACTCGGAAATGGATATATGCAGTCTAGACGGGAAACGCACCGAAACAAAATGAACCCACATGAGGTTGAGCAAAAATGAGGACAAATCTAACCGAAATCGAGTTAGAAAAAGCCAGTTTGATTTAATCTATGATCTACTCGTGCAGATTCATGTTAAATATCTAGTTCATAGGCCAATTTGAGTTGTAACTTTACTAAAATGGGGTATTTCGATCATAGCTCTCCTGAATGGATCTTTTTCTTCACTCTGTTATCAAGCTGATCAAAAGTTTTCGGAGCATATAGCTTCAGCTGTAGCAGATCGGATGCACTTAAATTCACTATCGCTATAAAGTACTAGTAAGTACTACTCAAATGTCGTTTTCTTGGTGATACGTCCACCAAAGTTTTCTATTTATGCTTGGTTATCAATCGCATTTTCCATGAAAATCATTTCGAAGCTATAAAATGTGAAGTCTCTCAACTAGATAGTTTTGGATAGCTACCTTCCACATGACTAAATCCTTTTAATAGAGGGTTGGCGACGGTAACGTCGCGTTACGGGTGTGGGTGTGGGTGTGCGTGGGTTATCAACTCAGATGGTTGCCAAGTCAGTTGACTACCAACTCAGATGGTTACCAAGTCAATTGGGGTTAATTAATCAAGTCACTATTAAAGTAGTTAGTTAGGATAAAATTCTATATCTAGAATGGATTGAATTTGATTCGATATTTTTCAGTCAAGATTTTTATTCGGCGAAGCTGTACTAATTCTAAAATACTTGAAAACAATGAAAAGCTAACATCTAGAATGCGTCGAGATTTGAAATATCGAAAATTGGATTGAGAATTATTTAATGCTCGGAAAGCAATCAATAGCGCTAAATTTTTGATGAAAATCATCCGGGCTTCAGGTATAGTTTCAAAATCTCAAAATTCTTAAAGTTTTATTATTCTTAGTCAGATTTCTTGACAGTCCTTTTTGTTTATTCCTAGATTATTCGATTCTCTATAACTTGGAATGAAAAGAAAAGGATTCAATAGAGAACTTCTGTATTATATAAAAAAGAAAAGTCAATATAATCAAACCAACTTTTATTTATGTCAATGAAGTATTCTAATGTTGTTGTTCTTCTTCATCTTCGACTAATTCGACTTCAATTTCCCATTTATAACCAAAATAATGTACACTAATAACTTTTAATTTTGTTCCAACAGCTAAAAGAGCTTCTTTTTCTTCAGCATTTGCACTCCATTTCCAAATATTAGCTAGATTTTTCTTTGCTAATTCACTTGAGTTATCTGTTTTTAATATTATTATTGAATTACCTGAATAGATCAATAGACGATCAATTGTAAACGATAGAAATGAATTTGTATAATAACATTCATTCATTCTATCTAAATAATATTGAATTTCTTTATCACTCAATGTTAAACCACGATAATAAACATGTTTTAGATTTGATTGATTTAAACCTCGAATTAATGAACGAAGTTTATTGACGTATAACCAATCAATATCATCAAAATTTGCACTAAGTAAATGTAAATTCGTTTTCATATAACATTCATTGGCATGACTATTCGTATAAGAATGAATAACATTTAACATATCGTTATTTAATTCATGTTCATTTATTATTGTTGGATAAATTTGTTGAAAATAAGAACAATATGGGTTTTTTGTTAAAAGTTTACAATTAAGTGAATTTGTTGAATGATCATAATGAAAATTTTCTGTTTCATAATTTTCAGTTGTTGCAGCTAATTGTTGTGGTAAATAACGACTTGTGCGAGCATTAAAAATGCAATACATCATGACCCTGTGAAAAGTAAAACACGTAGAAATGCATTGTAGATGTTTGTGATTCATGTAATTTCATAATTGTTATGAAACATGCAGAGAAAAAGAACCATCGATTACTTCCATTCGATAGTTTCTTATTTAGCTCTTTTTGAATTTTTTTTGGAATGCTCTCTATCGGATGATTTAAAAGTTGCGTGTTTTTAAGCAGTGAATTTTAAGTTATTCTTAAAACCTAGTTTTTGAAGAATAAGAAGTAGAGATGAAGAATACTAGTGAATTAATAGCTTTTACCAAAATTTGAAAATAAAACAATTATTAGCTCTCTTTTTACTTAGATTATGAAGATTTATTTTTAAAACTGCTCTAGAAAATCAACACAACTATTCAATTAGCAATGCTATACATAAGAAGATTGTTTGCTATTCAAAAAGATTGCTTTCTCTCTAGGCACCAATCCATTTAGTTTTAAAAAGCACTGAATACACATCGATATAAGTTTTCTCATGTAAAACATCATAGACTCCAAGAGACATATCTTCGTGTTCTTTTATCTTAGTAGTAAAAATAAGATGATTAATGTTTCTTACCAGACTCTTATTCATAACTAGGAATAGTTCATTCTATTTGTCACTATTTTACTGCAGAAATCAAAACGATCCTCTTTTTTCATCTATCAAAATCCAAATGTTTGTTTCTAGGTTTGCATTAGAATATCTAAAAACAAACAATAAATGACATGAAAATGAACAACTAGTATAGGTTTGAATTCATCGGTTGTATTTTTATGCAATTCTATATTTCCCTCTCAGTATACTTTCAAACAACACAACGCTATTACTGTAAATAAGTATAAATATCGAGCAAGTTTTCTTGCAATAATATAATTCATTCTGATATTGTTTGACTTCTAGTTTCTGTATGAAATACATTAAAATAAATGATTAAATTAGCAACAAACTAATTATTATCCTGCTGCTGTAGTCCAAACAATATAGCTTTAACGAAAGTCATTTGTTTATGAAGCTCAGTAGCCAGAGGGTGAAAATTCGGTCTTTTTCTGCGATAAATTTCATTAGTCTGAAGAAAATAATCTAATGACATCTGATTTTGGTTGATACAACAGTATAATTCGCGTATATTATGTTTTCCTATACATATCAATTGCTTTACAATTTTCCAATCCAATGATGATTATTTGGAAATACGTTTTTTTGAAAAGTCTTGTATGCTTTTAATATATATTCTAAAGCATTATCCGATCGACCTATATCTCTATATAGCTGACTGATATTGAGATAAACAGATCCTATATCATAATGATCCGATGCGCTTTTATGAATTTACTTTTGAATATCTAATCCTCCTATGTAACAATCAACAGCTATTTGAAAATGTTCGCGTTGACCTAGAGAGAATCGCCTTTTATTGCATTCAATCTTGAAATATTTCCATGAATATCACCTATCATATTATAACATGCAGTTACAAAGCTAGCATCACCATTGGGAGACTTTTTCTCAGATTTTAAATGTTTGATGACAGTGCGCTAATACTTCTGCATAGTTATCTTTTTGGAAAGTGGTACACTTTTGTAATAGAAATGCATTGTCAAATCATAGTTGTAGCGGTCATCATGTACCTCGTTCTTCAATACTTTAATTATCATGTCGAAAATATCGATTGAGATCCCATATCTACCCAGTTCACTTTTGACTATAGTAATTCCACTACATATAATTATGTATCAACAGATGATAATCATTCCTGATTGATCTATTCTTATTTTCTGCTATATCCAAAAATGAATGTATCTACAAATGTAATGCATGTTCATAATCACCACAAGTTTTTAGTAGTACTCCCAATGTGAGTAAATCTGTATGTTCTTCTATCTGGTTTTGAATTGCATCAAACAATTGTGGCCAATGATGCTTGTTCTCATCAACTAATAGCAATTTTACAATCCAAAGTTCTTTTTAATCGTCATAATGCATATTTTCACAGCAGAATAATGTATTAATCATAAAGAGTACTTATTTCGCAGGAGATGATCCGTCTAGTCTCTGCGATGATACATCAGCATATTGTTTGGGTGTTAGGCTTAAATCACATGTGATTGAATAAAGAATTGGTATAAAATCGTTATCATGTTTAATTTTGCTTCTCGTAAAGTCAACAGCAACATTTTTACTTTTACTAGTTGAAAAAAACTATCGACTGCGAAGAAACTTCCACATTCTGATTCTTGCAGTCTTTCAAATTCTGGTCTAGTGGAACGCTGACCACGACAACTAAGTTCATGAACAGCAATAAGATCTGTAAATGCAGCTCCAATAATTATTACATCATATTCTTTGGTAATGCGCATCTTTGTTCTATTAGTAACGCTTGTTGTTACCAGTTCACTCTCAACTGTACTATTCAGTATGGCAAATAAATCCATCGAGAGTTCGATTCAATAGTTTCGTTATGATAGTTAACAGTTTTTTTTCAATATGAATAATTTAAGTGACTCGACTAAATAATAACATCTAGCAACTGTAGTTGAAAAGCATTGAGGAAACTTGAATTGTTCTTTTGTCCTTTATTATCATTTCGTTAAAAAGTGAATCGTTCTTTTGTTTAACAGGGCATATCTATTTTTTGTTTTATTTCATTTTCTTATCTCCTAGATCCAACATTCAAGGTGAACGGTAAGTTAGAATACAAAGACATTTCACTACTACAGAATATATTGGTCTACTCAATACTACACACAAACAATATTATTTATGTATATACGATGAATATTTTAATATAGAATGAATTTTTATTTTGAAAACGTAATGATAAAGATAATAGAATTATTGATGGATTTTTAACAACTGCTTTGCCATGCTTATAGAATTATGTAGATCACTGCTCGTGTTAACATTCATTGGCGATGGATTTTGCTCTAATACTTTAATTGCTTTTTCATAGTTTTCTAGAGCATTACTATATTCTTTTTGGTTGTAATGATTGTCACCAATGACTTTATAAATCGGTATCAGATCTAGATGATCAGATTGGAGATAAGTTAAACTCAATCGAAGTACTTCATGATAATGATTTAAGGCTTTGACGTAATCATGATTGTAAGTATAGATAGCAGCGAGACCATTATGTACACGTACAAGTCGTCGGGGTTGACTGAGAATAGCTGTATCTTGTAATAAACTAAGAAGAAACTGTTCAGCACGTTTATATTCTCCCATGTCCACCAGTAATTTACCCAAATGAAAGGCTGGATTAGCATGTACTTCATCATGACGAGTCGATGCTATGATATATTGTAGTTGTTGATCATCATTATTGATTAATTTTAATTTAACAGACCACATCATCATTTCACCATTGGTGATTTGTTCAACTGATTGAATACGAAAAATTGTGCTCATATTAAAACAAACATCATATTTATCTACATCTGCATCTTTGAGTAAGGCGAATGGACTTTTTTCATCGAATGTTGTCTTTGCAATATCTATTTCGAAAAGAATACCTATCATATCTCGATGCATTGCAAGTCGACGATCAATAAAATCAATAGCAAATCTTTTGTTCATTGAAGCGATAAGAAAATTAGGAAATGAAAGAAAACCACCGCAACTGTTTTTTATTAAGGTTTCAAATTCCAAAAATGGCATTGTTTTACCACGATAGACCATGGAAATAGTTTCGATTAGTACTTTATTTTCCTCGTGTAATCGATTAAGTTGAATGGTTGCTTGTTTAATGAAAAACCCAAACTTGTAGAGAATATCGATCTCATGCGTACGTACGACACGATTTAGTATTCTTGAAATAAAAGATTGATTTGTTAAACAATAAAGAGCTTTATTTGGTCGATAATTTTTAGCAAATTCATCGATTGCGCGCAGTTGTTCATCATGGTTCATGTATACGACTCGACAAAAATCGATCAAGACATCTTTCGAACAACTTTCAAATTTAAAGCGAGCAGTAATCTCTTTCATCATTTGTGCAAAAAGAAAAAATGCTTGTTGTCTTGTCAATTTTGATGAGAACGAGATTTCTTGAGATGATGCCGATACAACCGTAATAAGTGTAAAATCCATTTCGCATATTCTTATATCTTCTTGTAGTTGCCTATAAAGACTATCAACGTTTTGCATAATATCATATTTGAAAATTCGATGTTTTGTATCGTTTATTTCATGAGAACAATCGAATATGTATATTTTCTCGAGTTGTGGAAAATCATGAAAATGTTCACATGTTCGATGAATACCAGATAAAATAAGAAAAATCTTTTCATCTCGAACATTATTAATAAAATGATTGCATGTTTCAATATTATTAAATGTTTTTAAACCATACAGAAGCTTTCCTAAATGTTCCATTTCATTTTCATATTTATTTGAAGCCACATCATAAAGCCAAATAGTAAGAAAATTTTCGAGAAAACGTGTTGACTGTGAAACTGGTTTCTTCGACACTAGAATTGCATCATGATGTAATGATATACGTTTAGGGAGAAGTTCAGGTAGTCGAGTCTTAGATACTGTACAACCCATTAGAAAAATATCTACGTTAATATATGCAATTTACCAATAATAATTCATTTAATCTTTGCTAAAAATAAGAGAAACTATGTATTAATATATATTTTTTTCAATTATCAGTATTGAAAACGAGAAAAAGCTTTGTTCTTATGTTTCCATATTTCCTGCATCTACTCATCATTTGGTGTTCTTTGAAAGGATAATCATCGGAAATACCAGTATATAAAAATAGGTTCGTTTCTTGATATATCCAATCGTCAAGTATCTACTTCGATAGTTTTATCTGATGGAAAACAATGAAAAATACTCATTCATTTCTATTCTGTTGCAACATGGCTTCATTTTATCATCGAAATAACTTTCCAAGTGCTAATTTGTGATTTCCACAATTAGCATCTGACGTAAACTCTTGATAGATTTTATTGGATGAACAATCTCACCATTAATTTACATGAAAAATTCAACTAGACATCAATGCTAAAGAATCATAAGCAATTATATCAACGTCATCGGCGTCTGGAATCCTTTCTATAAGAAGATTACAGTTTGTTAAGATCGTCTTACATTAAAATAAAAATACGGAAGTATGCTTAGAAGTTGATCTTTGCTTTCTAGAAAAGAAAGTATTTTGAGAACAACGAGGATGATATCCATTCAAAAAATGTGAACCGTTACTTTTTGAACGAATTTTGCTAGAGATCATAATGATCGTTATGGAAAAGAAGACATGAAGTTGATACAATGATACACTATGTATTTTCTTAAGATACTTTTGAACTTTGATAAACCAGTTTTCACACTGAAAAGGTATCTGATAGACTAGGAAAAAGTGAAGCAGTGATTGTTTTTAGTCAATTTGTTTTGCTATTGGTTGTTGCCTTAAATTCACAACTGATCATCGAGAAATTTTAGTAATCAATTCTCAGGTAAATTTAATTTTGAAAAAGACCAGATGAACACCCTCGATATCTATTTGTTCCAACAGGGTACATAAATTAGTATAAAGGATTAAAACCTATGAGATATACTGTAAGGCTTTCAAAAGAACCGTGTTTGATGATGAATATGAAAATCCAACAAACTCGTGATATTAATATATTTCTCAAATGTCAATCCAATTGGCTGTGATCTTTTGTTTTCCCAACAAAAACAATCATGTGACATGTTGTATTCAGGTGTTGAAATCATCGATGCAAAGATCTTATTAAAAAAATCTTTTAAAATTTTTCTTCTGCGTTGTAAATGATGTCTATTCAGAGTACACATTAAAGATGCAGATGGGATTGAAGAATAAAATAATTTTCGCTGAAAAAGCTACGTTTTTTTCTTTTCTTGATAATCTAACTTTGTAGCATTAGGAAAAAACTGCTAATGAGTATGATTACAACTTAAAACAGAACAATTACTAATGACTTATTGTAAAATAAACGACGATATCTTGGAAATTCTTAAATAGCCAAAGCCTCTTAATTATCGAGGGTGCGAAATATAATTATTTTCGTTATCAAATTTTTTCTTATGCGTGGGCTGTTGTAGAAAAAAAATGAATTATTGTTTTACAATACAGCGAATTCGCATGACTACATAACGAAAAGAAATATTTTAATAGGATATTAGAAAACCGTTGAAGTGTTATTTAATAATCGCTGACAAAAGAAAGTACTTTGTAAGTAAAAAAAACTGAGAAATGAGTTCGTCTATTTTGATCCTAAAGAATTAAAAATGAATTCACTAAGAAAATTGTTTATGTAAGAGCGGGTCACAAAAATAAGCAATTTTTTCTCTCTAAATGTTCTAAGTTGATACAATTAAAAGCATGAATTCATCATAATGTATATTCAACTTATTTTTTACGCGATATGTGTTTCAGTTGCATACGACATTCAAACAAATTTCTATTAATAATACTTACATAATTGATGTTATGTCGACGTGTTTTCTTTTACTACTCTCTTCATGTGAAAGCAATGAGATCATATTTACTGGTGCGTTCGATTTCCTCCGGACGGCAAAAAATAGATTATTTGTAAGAGATAATCATCAATTTTAATTTTAATCTTTATTGATGCATAACACTGCATCTCTCTTATTTTCTGTTTTTGACTGATCGCCACGTTATTATTTAGTCTTCTTTACAAATAGTTTTAATTGATAAAGAGAAACCTCCGTCCAATAAATACTAACAAAAATAGCATCCCATATAAATTAGTAAAACTAAACATTTACATATTTCTCTTCTGTTCTAAATAATCTTACCTTTCTGGCCATTGTAATAGATGAATGTCACTTTCTACAATGCTGTAGTGAATATAAATGAAAAACAATCTCTCACTAATTATTATCTCAAGCAAGGGGAAAAACGCGACTTCCGTACTCCCATCGTACTTCAAAATTTTTTTGGAGTAGATGAAGTCGCGCTTTTCCCCCTTGATCTCAAGTGACGGAACTTAATTGATAATGTAATCGAACAGGCAAATATTTTCAATTAATCGATAATCTTTGACAAGACTTCCAATAATAATTTGTTGAAAGATATTTTTCTATTCTTGACAAAATAGTTTTATTTGGAGGATGATGCTGTGCTAAAACTTGATCATTACTAATTTTATTCTATATTCCCCGTGTTTCAACATGAAAAATTTATTTTCTTTGTTATCTACAAGTTTTATCATGTTTTTAAGATTACTGATCTCAGCTAAAGAAAAAACTCAATGAAGTGTAATGAGAACAGAAATAGAACATAATTTTATATTGCTCAAAGATATTTAGTTCTACTAGTGTTGATCTATTTGTGAAAAATTCAACTGTAACAGATTAAATAGGGTTTTTTATCATTCAGATTTCAACCATGTAATGCATCTATTTCATTTTTATTTGATTCATGGGTATATTCTCTGACAGTGATATGCAGCGGACACATGCCTCAGTACTTTGTACTATACTTCCTGTATTACGTTTAAAAATAAAATCTACAGAGAAAAAGGACAGTGAGCTCAGTTATCCATTGGTACTTGGCATCATCGGATTGACGATATGAATAGGAAAAACCCAAAATGGTGATGCGACGCATAAAAATATACTTTTGTGATTGCACCCTAGAATCTTA